TTGACCTCCATTTCATCCATTCAAATAAAAGAACTGGATGAAAATAAACAAAGCTTATGAAATAATGTATGCAACTTGAAATCAATGCTCAATTATGCAACCACAAATTAACAAACAGTAGCAATCAAGGGTAAATCAAACTCCAGTTGTCTATATGACAAACAACAATACCCTATTTAAAATACAAAATGTACCATTTTTAGATTTCAAAACTGCTCATACTGCCAAAAGGTGCGTCAGGGTCATCGCTGCTCGTCTCCAGACTGATAAACTGCCTTATATGTTCAGACTGAACACACTAGTTAATCAAGCCAGCCAGCCATGAAAAATCAGCAACTCCCTTTTATGCTATCAGTGCTAGGACTAAGTGAGACAGATGTTCAAGAGTTCATTAGTATGCATGGAGATAGTCAGAGCCAAACAGGACACGGCAGAGGTCTCCTGAATGCCAAGGACAGAATCTGCAATGTGGCATTATTGAAACACTAGGGTGGCTTATGCAGAGTTTAATATGGAAATGACTTCAATGACGAGATATCTGAGGGGAACTGAGAGCTTTGTAAACCTACAAATTTATTAGCTGTATTACTTTTACTTATTTAGCACACAAATGACAAATGCTGTATAAGCACTTATCACTAGATTGTAGAGGCTTGGCATGTCTGTTTACTTGATATGTACTGCAAACTGTACTGAGTCATGTATAGGATATGTGCTCAGGTCCCTGTGATTGTTCTTGTGTTTGTATTTCCTGTAATTTGTAGTCATATGAGGGGTGACACTGTTTCATATTGATGGATAACACTCTAAAAAGGGTTGTTGGCTCAGGTCCCAGCTGTAAATGAGAAAGGCAATGTTCATGAGCACACACATGCAAACACATCATGCATGAACACAATAATTCTATTCCAGCTCCTCCACAGAAGCTTGTCAGAGTTTACCAAATGTTGCCATGGCTCTGGTTCTGTCAGCATAGGTCAGAAGAAGAAAAATCCACTGCAAAGCTAAATGGTTGGTTGTGTGCATCAAAACTGAGTTGGGCCAAAAATGGGCCTCATTTTGTTTTATTGTACAGGAGTTTACAAGGATACACTTGTTTTTAGAAAAAGTTTCAAATTAAAAGCCATATAAAACAGTGAAAATCTTACACTAAGATTCTGAGCTTCAAGTGCGCCAGTAGGAGCTTGACAGCTAAATGGTTTTCATGCCCCAAACATTAAATGGTTTGTTAACAGCCTGTGGTAAATCTGTGCTGTCACACATGGAGAACACATCCTGATGTATTACCTAAAGAGAAGCAACTCTTCAAAGTCTTGATGAAGTAGAACCTTTCATTCTCACTGATATTTAAAAGAGATCCAACTTGGATAGTTTAATTGGGTTTAATAAAAGCAACAACTGTTGGTGAGGTGACAGAAGAGACCCAGTTTGCAAACCTATCACTTTTGCTTTATGCAGCTACAGCAGCAGCGACCTGGTTGTTTCTTAAAGGAAAAAATAAAAGGAGGGGAATAACTTTTAACAATTGTATGTACCTGATTGAATGTACCGAGACATCACTGCCTCTTTATAGCCAACTAATTTGATTTTCTACTCAGCCTTGTTGTTTCACATAAAAACTGGAGATTAATCATTGGCTCCCAGTAAAACCCGTGTAAATATCAGGGCACCGCTGGTATTAAAGTTGTCAGTATGAGTAATTTCATTGCTGAAAAATGCTGGTAGGCTTAAAGCTCACTCTCTCCTTATGGAGAGGAAGCTAATAAAAATATGCTGAGTCAGTTACCTGGTTGCGCCTGTAGTATCACTTTGAAACTGACATTGCATGTTCTGTTTGCAGGTACGTCTGTTGTCACTGTCACTGCCACCGATGCTGATGATCAAACATATGGGAACAGTGCCAAGCTTGTATATAGCATTCTGCAGGGACAGCCCTATTTCTCTGTGGACTCTGAAAACGGTAAGTCAAACCCAGCAGAATCTCTGGAACGCCGACGTTAATGTTAAGTAATCTCTAAACAGGTCTGTTGTGCTGTTAGTGTTTGTGAGAATTAAACGAGATGATTAAAGCTCTGCTTCTTGGTATAACTAATATTAGAGAATTCAACAGTATATGATTTAAGATTACATCAAAGAGATGATTCAGTATCTTTCAGATTTTCAATATGAAAAGACTATGATGCTTGTAGTTATGGAATTTCTATGACAAATTTTCTTTGTATTTACTGTATATGAAGCCACTTATAAATTAATTGATGGAAGCTTAGAAAGGCAACCCCTTACAAAGCCATCGTCCAGTTTTTATTTGAAGCATGTCTGCTGTTATATTTAAGATATCTGTGACCTTTTGGGATGTGTGCTTACTTGCTGCCTTGTCAGTTTCATCTTTGGGAATTCAGTACAGTAACCCTATGACACTGTTAGGTGGAAAATGAGAGAACAGGCTAGCCTAACTCAGTCAAAGGTACATTCATACAATTGCAATTATTTGGTTATCATTTCCACACTGGATGTATTTTATATCATGTAGAAAACAGCTATCCAACAACAGCTGGGTTTCACTGACTGTACATACAGACAGCATCTCAGAAGTCCTCTGTTTAGCATAAAGCTGCCACTTTCATACAGTTTTGGGTCTCTGAAATCATAGCTGACAGTTGCATGTATTGGCAGATACACAGCTAACAAGATGTGCACATTCTTTTTTATTTTCTGGAGCATCTCTGGTGGGGTATATCCAGTAAATTTAAGGAAGTAAAGCAACCCTTTCTTTTAGAAATTACATCTATATACCACTAAATCCAAGAGCAAATATGTTTTGTAAGATATACAGTAGTGCCTTGATTACATCTAGTATCAACATAATGAGAAAATACAGTCAAGTTATGTTTCTGTCAAGTCATAAAATGAACCTAAATAACAAGTTGCTTCCTAAATTTTTAGACAGTCATAGCAGTTGCATTGAGTTAGGTAAAGATTGTGAGTTAAATACTGGAAGTCAAATGTTGACATTTAGCCA